ATATGTATCAAAAGCTTTAAAAGTGCATATACCCTTTGATCCTGCAAGGTAATTTCTGGAAAATCCTAAAGAAAGTGGGCTCCAAAGGTTGATGCAGAAGCCTGTTCATCACATTGTTTATAACTGAGGGGAAAAATGGAATAAAACATGACCATTCATAACTATGCTGCAGAAGAACATTCAATGACAGAGGAAATATATACAATCTATTTCTAACATGTTGCAAAGTAGGTTACTAAATTATAAGTATAATATGATTGCAATTTTGAAAATATACACACAAACTACAGAGCAAGAGTCAGATACAGCAACATCTCTTCATTCAAAGCATTTATCAAAGTGCTTAGCACATACTAAATACTCCATAAAGAATTTTTAAATATCTTATATATAATAAATATATATAGATATAAATATACATAATTAAATATATTAAATATATGTGTTTTAATATATAGATAATTTTTTTTTTCGATATGGATTTTCACTCTGCTGCCCACGCTGAAGTGCAGGGGCATGAACTCAACTCACTTCAACCTTTACCTCCCAAGTTCAAGCGATTCTCCTGCCTCAGCCTCCCAAGTAGCCGGGATTACAGGCACCCACCACCACATCCAGCTATTTTTTTTTTTTTTGTATTTTCAGTAGAGATGGGGACTTCACCACATTGGCCAGGCTGGTCTCCAACTCTTGACCTCAAGTGATCTGCCTGCCTTGGCCTCCAAAGTGCTGGGATTAGAGGTCTGAGGCACCATGCCCGGCCTACAGCTATTTTTAAAAAGAAGTTGCATGCTTATATTGTAAAAGTATATCTTTTTTGCAAAGTCAATTTTGAATAAAAAACAAAAACACACACGCAAACAGTGGTCATCTCTGGGTGGCGAACTTGCAGCTGCCATATTATCTTCTTTGTATTTTTACCTAGTTTCCAAGTCACCTCCGTAAGTAATTTAATACTATGCAACCATAAAAAACAATGAGTTAGTATCCTTTCTAGGGACATGGATGAATCTAGAAACCATCATTCTCAGCAAAGTGACACAGGCACAGAAAATCAAACGCCGCATGTTCTCACTCATAGGTTGGTGTTGAGCAATGAGAACAAATGGGCACAGGGAGGGGAGCATCACACACTGGGGTCTGTTGAGGGGGGCTGGGGAGGGACAGTGGGGGGTAGGGAGGTTGGGGAGGGATAGCATGGGGAGAAATGCCAGATATAGGTGACGGGGGATGGAGGCAGCAAACCACCTTGCCATGTAAGTATCTATAAAACAACCCTGCAAGATCTGCATTTGTACCCCAAAACCTAAAATGCAATTTTAAAAAATGCCACAGGGAATATACATGATGGCACTTAAATTTATTGTTGTCATTCCTACATCATAAATTTTGGATTCTTTTGTTTAAAAATAAAAATAAAAAAATAAAAATAATACTATCTGAAAAAAAGTAATTAACGTCAATAACTGCTATATATTTTAAATTACAGTTTAATCAATAGAAGGCTGTCTAAGAAATGCATAGTGTATGCACAGAATGAACTATCACACAGCCAGTTAGCCACAGGGTAGGGCGACTCGCCGCCTGCCACTGGTGCAGAGAAAGTCCCCAACACCTTGCTACGTGAAGAGCTCACGGTGCACAGGCAGCTCTTCCTACAGACAACGGTGCTAATGCTTTTTACACATTATGCTACACAGAGATTTAACCTACAAAAACATGACCCTGAGGAATAAACACTGTTTAACTTCCACATGGACAACAATCAGGAACGAACGAGCCAAAGTTTAACCACACGTACTCAGAGGAGCATGGCTTCAGTTCTCAGTGTCTGCGAGACTGAGCAATGCAATTGATTTCTCCCCTGGGAACAGGGTGGTTTTGCAGAGGAATCCTCTCCACCTTCAACTCTTAGGAGAAGCAAACCTAACTTCAGATGACTTGTGCTTATTTGCAGCAGAGATCAAGCATGGTAAATTGAGAACTCTAAGTGAAGGAAAGAGAAACAAAAACCCAGCAACCTGACGAGGGAAGAAATAGGTTCTTGCCCATCTGTTAGTAGAATATGAACTGGAATAACCCTTCCATACAGTAATTTGTCAGTGTCAATCAAAACAAAAATTACACAGCCCTTTGGCCTACAGGTTTTCCCAGGAATTTATATTTCCAACATCCTCATACAGTGGAGTAAAGAAATATAATCGAAAATACTCCAGCTTTCCTTGAAATAGCAAAAAAAAAAAAAAAAAAAAAAAAAAGCAAGAGAGAGACTTTTAATAAGTCCGGTGCATTCTCACAGTGGCATACATCACAACCAATTAAAAAAATATGATAGACATGGCTTTGTGGATTTGGAAAAGTAGCTAAGTTAGGAGTTAAATATACAGATCTAATCCCATTTGTGGGAATAAAATGTTCCCCGTATGTGCATAAAACACTTTAAAAGAAACAATAGGGGCCACACACAGCGGCTCATGACTGTAATCCCAGCACTTTGGGAGGCCAAGGCAGGCAGATCACCTTAAGTCAGGAATTTGAGACCAGCCTGGCCAACATGGTGAAAGCCTGTTTCTACTAAAAATATATGCCCAGCTGGGCATGGTGGCATACACCTGTAATCCCAGCTATTCCTGGTATTCTGGAGGCTGAGGCACGAGAATCACTTGAACCTGCTAGGTGGAGGTTGCAGTGAGCCCAGATCATGCCACTGCACTCTAGCCTGGACCACAGATTAAGACTCTGTATCAAAAAAAAGAAAAAAGAAAAGAAAAAAAAAGAAGAAGAAAGAAAATAAAAAACAGATATCACTTTACAGAAAACAACACAACTTTTGCGGGGTGGGGTGGAAGGAGGGAGAGCATCAGGAAGACTAGCTAATGGATTCTGGGCTTAATATCCAGGTGATGGCATGATCTGTGCAGCAAACTACCACAGCACACGTTTACCTGTGTAACAAACCCGGACAGGTACTGCTGAACTTAAAAGTCAAAGAAGAAAAGAAAAGAAAGCGACATAACTCACAGTCAACAGAATCACTAAACTCAGGGCCGAGGCCCCGTGATTGCATAAAAGAGCTGCAACAGTCAGTGACAACCTTTCAGAGCTTCCTGCTGAGCTGTCAGGGTCCACCTTGGGTACTGAGGTCTCCCACCAATGGCCTTGTGAGTGCACCATCACAGATGCACATCTGCAAGCCCCAGTCAAACCACCAGATGAGACTGTAGCCTCATGGCAAACCCTGAGACAGACCGCCCAGCTAAGCTGCTTTTGAATGCCCACAGGAACTATTAGATAACAAATGTACTGCTATAAGCAACAAAGTTTGGGGGGTGATTTGTTACGTAATAATAGATAACCAATACAGTATATATATGTATATTTATATATACTGTGGGTTGCCTCTGGAAATTAGAAATAATACAGTGAGGATAAGAAGCGGAAGACAGGCTTGCTTTTCACACTATACCACTCAGTTACATTTTACTCTACACTGGGGCAATTTTCATGGATTACCTGAGAAAATAAAGAACACATAGTAAGATGTGCCCATACATGAAGAGACTGTTCAGAGAGGGCTCAACGTCTGGAGGCACAGGAGGCAGGAAAAACAGCTGGAGCTTAAATAAGGTTTGATACAATGTAAAGAAATTTTCTAAAAAATCACCATTAACAAAAAACTAAAAATTTTAGAAGTGTGACACATTTTGCTGACCAAAATTTCATTCTGGTGTGTTGGTGACTGGAGCTAATTTTGATCTTCAAATGACATGCTATATATTCATATATTACCCTTAAAATGGTGCAGCACAAATGATACCACTACTGTGTCATTTAATTCATTTTTGAAGAAAGACACTCAGGCTGAACAGTAACAAAAATATCTGTCTTCCTTTACCTGGTGCCTCCCATCCCCTCAGTAAAATCAGATGGGTCTTCAGAGTGTTAAGAAAAATGTTCTGCAACCTGAAAATAGGGTCAGGAATACGATAAGAATAAATAAGGTGCATATGCATTTTCTTGCAGTGTTCTAAGACGCCACATTTAAAAGCGTCCTCCAAAGATTAATTTTCTGAGAGAGTATGTTGTTGTTTGACTTCATTATGTACTACTAATTGAGAGCTTGTATTCTGTGAAGTTACATTAAGTCATTTGTAGATTCATGTCAGGGAGAGATGTAAATCATCTCTGTCCAGTAGAAAAGATACTTCCAAAGCTTGGGGCCCATTGCCTTGCTGGATGTTAGCCAGGTCTGCGACTAACATACTGAATTTACCCTGATACTCTTTACCAAATTGCTGATTTAAACTCCAGTTGCTCAAATGTGCTTTAAACTGGTTTTAACATCTTAGTAGTTTCCTCATAAATTCATGGGTTGAACAATGTCTTTCATAAGTGCTCTTTTATACCTGTAAAAGAATCCTTTTGAAAAAATATATTTTGAAAGATGAAATAAGCATTGAAAAAATTCAGGGCCAGGCTTGTCTGTGATCCCAGCCCTTTGGGAGGCTGAGGAGGATGGATCACTTGAGTGTTGCCCCAGTGTAGAGTAAAGGAGATTGAAACCAGCCTGGGCAACAATGGTGAAACTCTATCTCTGCAAAAATCAAAACAAAAAGTAGGGATCATGGTGGCCTGCACTTGGGAGACTGAAGTGGGAGGATTGATCGATCCCAGGAAGTGGAGGTTGCAATGAGCTGAGATTGCATCACTGCACTCCAGCCTGGGTGACAGAGTAAGACCCTGTCTCAAAAAAACAAACAAAATTCAGATGATACTCTTAATATGGTAAAAGCAGCTTCAATACACATCCATTCTTGACTGCCATAGTTATAACATTTAAGAAATTATGCCCTAAGAAAACAAATTGAAGAGATTATTGCATGTCTCCCATTTCTGAATTGAATAAACAGGAGACATTGTTTCCCATATTATTGGACATTGCAGGCACTTCTGTTTTTCAATATTTCTGGTATTTTACTTTTAAAGAGAAAGAGGGTTACCTTGCAAAAGGCGGCCTCCCCTATAGAGATGAAGGGCCAGGGCAGCCTCGCAGTTCTCAGCCAAGATGAGGTTTGCAATCTCAGATGGGCTTTCAAAGTCAAAGGCATCTTTCAGAACGCACACATGCCCTGCAGCCTCTAGATGGGCCCTTTATCAAAAAATACAGAGAAAGGAGAGGAAGAGGGGAAAATGTTAATATGTAACAGGTTGCTGCTACAATTAAGGTTTGTTTTTTTTGTTTTTTTTGAGACAGAGTTTCACTCTTGTTGCCCAGGCTGGGGTGCATTGGTGCAGTCTTGGCTCACTACAACCTCCACCTCCTGGGTCAAAGCCATTCTCCTGCCTCAGTCTCCCGAGTAGCTGGGACTACAGGCATACACCACCACTCCTGGGTAATTTTTTGTATTTTTAATAAAGACAGGATTTCACCATGTTGGCCAGGCTGGTCTCAAATTCTTGATCTCAAGTGATCTACCTGCCTTAGCCTCCCAAAGTGCTGAGATTACAGAAATGAGACACAGTGCCCAGATGCTATGATTAAGATTTTACATTAATTCCATAAGATTAATTATTTACTGAATTGCCCTTTGTAAGCACCCTGCCTTGAAATACAAGAGAAGGCCCAGAGTCAATGACATTAACCATTCATCTGTCAGTCTCAGATACGCAGGACTGTGGCTAGGACTGAGGCCACTGGAAGGAAGGCTGATTCTGGAGGCCTTGACAGCCTTCAGCCACGGGACACCCACTGCCATTTCCAGTGGCATTTGCCACACCAGACTGCTCCTTTTCTATTTCCTTAATTCCTGTCCCTGAACTGTAGTATATAAAGATTGTTTTCAGGCCTCTGTTGCTCAGTTCTCTGAAAAGACTTCCAAAGTCAACTATTAATATAGCTTCAAAAAATACTTCCTGTTCTTTCCATTCTACGTGCTATACACACACACACAAACACACACACACACACACACACACACACAGAGTATTTATGTCTTTCAAACATTTTTCTTTCTCTCCACCTTAGTTTAAGTTTCTGGTAACATAAATACAAAATACAAACCTCATAAACAAAAAAGAAATTTTTTCAAAAGTGACAACATAAAATCAGAAGACAAATGAGACACTGGGGAAAAAACTATTTACAACTCTTACTAAAGGAAAAAAGTTCATCTGCTTAATATGTAAAGAGCATTCGTAAATCAATAAGAAAGAGGAAACGCAAACAACACAATAGGAAAATAGAGATGAAGACTGGGTGAGATGGCTCACGCCTGTAATCCCAGCACTTTGAGAGGTTGAGGCAGACAGATCACTTCAGCCCAGGAGTTTGAGACCAGCCTGGACAATACAGTGAAACCCCATCTCTCAAAAAAAAAAAAAAAAAAAAAAAGAGCTGAGCATGGTGGCACATTCCTGTAGTCCTAGCTACTTGGAAGGCTAAGATGAAATGACTGCTTGAGCCTGAGAGGCTGAGGCTGCAGTGAGCCATGATTCTGCCACTGTACTCCAGCCTGGTGATGGAGTGAGATCCTGTCTCAAGAAAAAAAGGCCAGCCTCAGTAGCTCAAGCCTATAATCCCAGCACTCCAGGAGGCCAAAGCAGGCAGATCACTTGAGGTCAAAAATTTGAGACCAGCCTGGCCAACATGGTGACACCCCGCCTCTACTAAAAATACAAAAATTAGCCGGGTGTGGGGGCGTGTGCCTGTAATCCTAGCTAGTAGAGAGGCTGAGGCACAAGAATCGCTTGAACCTGGGAGACGGAGGTTGCAGGAGCCAAGATTGTGCCATTGCACTCCAGCCTGGGCAACAGAGTGGGGCTCGATCTCAAAAAAAAAAAAAAAAAAAAAAGAGAGAAAGAAGGAAGGGAGGGAAGGAAGGGAGGGAGGGAGGAAAGGAGGGAGGGAGGGAGGGGAAAAAAGAAAAAGAGGCGGGCACAAGATTGCTGTCCATAGAAAAAGAAATACAACTGAGCTCCTGAACAAAGAAAATGATGCTAACATCGGCCATCCTTTTAACCCAGAATATCTGTAAAGATAAACAATTGACCTGGGGCTTCCTGCAATAAACACTCCTGTACATTATCTGGGAGAGAAGAAATTGGTACAACCTCTCTGGTGGGCAATGCAACTGCAGCTGGAAAACCTGAAATGCACAAACCCTGTGACCAAATCGCTCCATGTCTAGAAATTTATTCCAAAGATATACTTGGGTACGTGTGCAAAAGCACACATCCAGGAATACAAGCTGCAGCAGTGAAGCAGCAAAAAGACTAAAAAACTACCTCAACGTGCATCCACAGGGCACTAGTTATATTATGGCAGGTGCACCTAGCCACATCCTTTTGCCATCAGAAGAATGCAGTAGAACACTATGAAGCATTAGGAATGATTTTCAACATTCACTATTAATGAAAGTGAGCAAAGGGAAGATACTTTTGTGTATATACACTTGGTATGCATAGAATACCTCTAGAAGGATACATTAAAAACAGATAACAATGACTGTGTCTAAAGAGGAGAATCAGGCGGCTCCAGCTTGTAACCACAGCACTTTGGGAGGCAGCGGTGGGAGGATCACTTGAGCTCAGGAGTTCAAGACCAGCCTGGACAACATGATGAAACTCTGTGTCTACAAATAATTTAAGAAATTAGCCGGGCATGGTGGCGTGCACCTGTGGTCCCAGCTGTTTGGGAGGCTGAGGTGGGAGGACAGATGAGTCCAGGAATTCAAGGCTGCAGTGAGCCATGATCACGCCACTGCAGCCTTGATCTCAATAGACCAAGACCCTTTCTCAAAATGAGTGTGTGTGTGTGTGTGTGTGTGTGTGTGTGAGAGAGAGAGAGAGAGAGAGAGAGAGAGAGAGACAGAAAAAGAGAAAGAAATAAAGAGAAAAGAGACACACAAGCTTTTGTATTGTCAGATAGTTTTCACCACACGCACGTATTACCTTTGTAAATTGTTTGATATGTGTGTGTATGTGTGTGTGCGTGTGTGCACGTGCATACACAACAAACAGGACCAGGTTTCTTTTCTGCTTAAAACCTGCAAAGAGCTCCCCGTATCCAGTTCAACTGCCAACCGCATGAGACTGGGGCCCATTTCTATCCTGCTTAGGGAATGAATTAATGGCTGAACGTGTCTCTGGGATAAATGCCTCAGCCCAGGACACAACTCACCCTGCATGGCAGAGGCACACTCCACTCCAACCACCTTCCCACGGCAGGACCTGTGGCACATCACACTCCCTTCTCAAGTCTCCACGCGTCTGACATGGCACATCCTGCTGCCAGCTCCTTTCCGAGAACTCTCCTGACAGCCCCAGTTCCCACCACACCACAGTCTCTCAAAATCCCCCCATTTGTTTTGAGCCTGTCTCTGTCACCTCTCTGCGCTGCACTTATATGGAAGATGGAGTCACATCTTACTTGGGGCATTGATGACAAAGTCAGGACATACATGAAAAGCAAGTACACTTAAAATCACCCTTGACAATCTCTTAAACCATCCAGACGGTACTACAGAACGCAGTTCAAATCCAACCTAGCCTTTTTTTCTTTTAACTCCAGCAATGAAATAGTTACTTATTCAGCTGAACACCAGGTGAATTAACTGGTGTGCATTTAGGGGCAATATTGCACAAAATCCTGAGGAAAGCGAAGAGGAGAACAACGATGAAGATGATGAGGAGGAAATGGGGAGGTCTCAAGTCTTCAAACACTGTGATCACCAAATGACCAAGTTGCTGGCACCGTGCGAGCCACAAAGAAACACTAGGTTGGAATCCTCTGACTCACAGACTCACACTGACCCTGGGGCACACGGTGAGACTCTACATTATACTAGCGTCTGGATGGTATTTTTGTCTTTCTCCTTTGGTTTCCTTTTCAGAAAGTGTTGCAACATCACTGTGCAAATAAAGAATAACTACGGTCTTGAGACTTAAGCTGGTCTAACCTGCTGAAGTGCACCCTGTGTCTCGAGCCTACCATTTTCACGCTAATTTGATCCTGTCGTGGGTGAATAACGTCCCTTCTCGCCCCGCCAGAACTAGCACCCTTTGGAAACGCTGAAGGTAACTGACCAGCAGAACCAGGAAAGATGCCGGCAGCAGTCAAGCTATTAGCTCACTTCAGTCTAAAACATGTAAAATACATCACACAAAAGTCAGGATTCAACATGCTTCTGACCATGTCTTGAGCCTATCATGGGTGAATAATTGCTATTTTGTGTTCTTCGTAAAGCTCTAAGAAATGAGAAGTCGGAAATAAACATTGATAGATGGCTGAATTCTACTTAGAGAGTCCATTCCTGAGAGACTCATATAGAGTCGACACAGCAGAGCCAGTGGAATGCAGGCGGTTACATAGAGACTATGTAACTAGGTGCTTCCTGATTTGTTATTTTTTTTTTCTTTCTTTCTTTTTTTTATTTTGAGACAGAGTCTTGCTCTGTGGCCCAGGCTGGAGTGCAATGGTGCGATCTCGGCTCACTGTAACATCTGCCTCCTGGGTTCAAGTGATTCTCATGCCTCAACCTCCCGAGTAGCTGGGACTATAGGCATGCACCACCAGGACCGGCTAATTTTTGCATTTTTAGTAGAGATGGAATTTCACCATGCTGGCCAGGCTGGTCTCAAATACCCAACCTCAGGTGGTCCATCTGCCTCAGCCTCCCAAAGGGCTGAGACTACAGGTGTGAGCTGCCGTGCCTGGCCTATTAAGCATATTTTTAAGTGGCATTTTGATACTAACTTTGTAACCTCATAAATATTCTAAATAAGTTTTTTCATCTAAATTCTCCATGAACTAAATCGTGCCCTTGTTTCTGGTTGACTTGAAACACCTTTAAATGGAGCTATGCTTTCTCTTTCTGTCAAGTAATAATTGAACTAATAAATTCACTGAGCACCTATTACGCCCAAATAATTCTGGTTTGACTTAAAAAGGCCTTCTTGAAAACAAAAGCATCTCCCATAAATGAAGAGACTCTGAGCATTTACTTCGCAGGTCCACAAAGAGAAGAAGCTTCTGTGTGCCCCCGACTCAAGATTCACAGGCATTCTGTGGCATCCCCCGGCCAGCAGCCATCCTTTTTACCTGCGTGTACAGTAGAGTTTGGCAATTTCTCTCTCTCTCTCTCTGTGTGT